ATAACTATGTTCACATTATTTTTTGTAGGACTAAGCGGGTTGAATCGTCATCCCTTTAAAAAATAATTTGATACCTAATCAAAACTGCAATCGGTGTAACTGTGTTGTTCCAAAAACCATTTAACACGTTTTGGTCCCCATTATAATATTACAATTATCATGTGCCAAAAATTACAAACTTTTTTAAGGCTTCCTCGTCTTTGTGTAAATTTGAATGTATTGCTATATATATTTAATTGTTCCAGATTAAGAAACTGAGATATTAATATATGGTGATGATGAAATAATGGTTAAAGAAACATGGAAATATTTGTCATAATGTTATATTATCTTATAAAAAGCGAACAGTTCTTATCAGCTGTATATTTTTTTGTATGCGTGTGTATGTGTATGTATGACTTACTGTTGTGCTGTTTCGTTATATGCAGTGTCTTTGTCTTGTATATATGTCTTGTATTTTGTTGAGGAGAACCACTAGTGGCCTATTGGCTGTTGGCAATCGTCGTTTAAATAAATAAATTATTAAATTAAATTAAAATCTAATAAGAAATTCGTATCTGTAATTGCTTTAACTAGTTACTATGATCGTAAACAGTAGTTAAATGAGATACTCACATCTAAAGACCATTTTTAAAACAAGTGGCTCTTAAGAGCCTAATTCGCTCGCCTGGAATTTTTTGTGTAGGTCTTGCATAAAGATTATTTTGCTATTTAATGTATACTAATTCAAGTTTAAACATGCCAACAAAAGTTTCTGCAAAAAATAAACAAAAACGGGCAAACATCATCTTTAAGGGCAATAACTCTTTGATATAAGGGTCTGATTGACAATTTGGTTATTTGACTTATTTGTAGGTCTTACTAACCTGAACATTTTTGCGTTTATAGATTCTCTCTATCTATAAAGAAAGGCAACAGAAGTATACCGCTGTTCGAAACTCATAAATCGATAGAGATAAAAACAAATCCGGTTTACAAACTAAAACTGAGGGAAACGCATCAAATATACCATAGTTTCTGTAAAACACTAAAAAAAATAGTTAAAAAAAACCTTTTCAAGGGCAATAACTCCTTACATTGTCCTATAAGGGATCAATAAATGATTTCGGTCATGTTGACTTATTTGTAGGTCTTACATAAAAGATTCTCTCTATCTGTTGACATTTTATACTATTATGTCTGTTTGTTTTGCTCACACATTGTTGTCAAATATAATGGAATTCAATGCGACTGTCATACAAGTGAGAGGTTTAGCTAGCTATAAAACCAGGTTTAATCAACCATTTTCTACATAAGGAAATGCCTGTACCAAGTCAGGAATATGACATTTGTTTTCCATTCTTTAGATGCGTTTGAGCTTTTGATTTTGCCCTTTTATAAAGGACTTTCCGTTTTGAATTTCCTTGGAGTTCGTTTTTTTTTGTTATTTTACTTTTTTCTGTTATAGTTTCTGCTACCCCCCCTCCCAAAGGCAAACATCATCTTTCAAGGAAAATAACTCATATAAGCGATCAATTGATGATTTTGATCATTTTTAATTCATTTGTAGGTCTTACTCTGCTGAACAGTTTTGTTGTTGAAGTTTCTTTCTATCAGAGTTTCTGCAACAAATTTTAAATAATGAAGAAAAATTGTCTTTCAAGGGTAATATCTCCTATAAGGTTTTAATCGAAAATTTTGGTCATATTGACTTATTTGTAGGTCTTAATTTTCTGAACATGTTTTCCATTCTAATTGTCTGTCTATCTATCACAGTTTCTGAAAAAAAAAACTTTAAAAATTTATAAAAAAATTGCCTTTTAAGCGCAATAACTCCAATAGGGGATCAATTCATGAATGTGGTCCTAAACCTATTGGCAGAGATTACTTTGCTGAACGTTTTTGCTATTTAAAATTTCTCTTTATCTATAATATTTTACAAGATAATAACCAACAAGAGGCTGTCAGAGTGACAGCAAACCGCATTTTCCTGCAGAGGTCGAACCCTGAACAGTTGAGCAAGTATGGACACTACATTTAAGCTTAAAACAGCTCTTAATTTGGATTGTGATTGAATATTTGACACAGCATAGGTTTGTGACACAAAATGAATGTGGTCAAAGAACTGAAATATTTGAAATTGGACATTTACCTATTAAGGTCCAATATCCAAAATTTAAGTACATTGTTAGACTCAGCATATCAAAGAACCCCAAGAATTCATTTTTTTTTATGAAATCAAACAAAAGTTTAATTTAGGACCCTTTGGACCTCAATGTGGACCAATTTGATAAAGGAGCCCACAATCCAAATTCTCTGAATACATGGTTAGATTCAGCATTTCAAAGAACCCCATAAATTCAATTTTTGTTGAATCAACACTGTTTAATTTTGGACCCTGATTTGGACCAACTTGAAAACTGGGCCCAAAAATCTAATATTTCAATACAGGTTTAGATTCGGCATTTGAAAGAACCCTATATATATATTAATTTTATGTTGAAATGAAACACAGTTTAATTTTATCCATATAATTTTCTGTTCGAAGGGAAATAACTCAAATTGAATAAATAGTTCTCTTAAATTAGATATGATGTGATATATATCTATTTTTTCAAATTATAATCAATAATATAATAACAACAACCAGTGATGACTAAATTCTCTAAAATTAGACATGATTTAATCACTAAAACATTGTTAGAATCAGCATATCAAAGAGCCCCAAGAATTCAATTTTTGATGAAATTAAACAAAAGTTTAATTTAGGACCCTTTGGACCTCAATGTGGTATTATCTAATTAATAATGAAAATAAATAAGGGTTTTCAAAGAACCCTATATATATATTCAATTTATGTTGAAATCAAACACAGTTTAATTTTGGACCTTGATTTGGACCAACTTGAAAACTGGGCCCAATATCAGAAATCTAAATATATGTTTATTAATAGACAATATAAGCTTAGTTTTTAAAGGAGTTCACTTCATCAAAAAGAAATATATATAGCATTCAGAAAATTAGTTTTTACAGAATAACAAACAAACCTACTACAAAATTCTTCAAACAATTAACCAAAGAAAAGGAAAAAAAATCCAAAATTTTATTTATCATTAATACAATGTCTTTTAAAAATCTATAAAACTTATCTGTAATTATCTTCAAAATGTCTAAAAATGAACAGTAAATTTCTTACTATATTTATACAGTCCTATATAGCTTATAATTATCACCACTTAGGAAACAGAAAATTTTCAAATAAATCTGTCACTCCAATTATAATTGGGTGATAAGACATTTACAATATGCTTTGTAATCTGATTAACAGGTGAAAATTATTTAAAAACACTTAGTGTTATCAAACTTTATATATATAATTAACAATTTCTGTTCAAAGGGAAATAACTCAATCACATTAGAAGTACTCCTTTTGGATATTAAAAAGGGCGATAACTCAAGAAGGAGAAAAGCTAAAATCGTGAAAATTGAACTTGACCTTCATTTAGTCACAGGAAACAACATATCTAAATTTGAAAAAATGTCGTCAAAGTGCTTTCATGTTATTGAACGGACACTGTTTGGCCGCCGGCCGCCCGCCCGCCCGCCGTACATCCCCAAATCAATAACCGATTTTTCCTACGAAAATCCGGTTAAAAACTGAGAACCTTCATAAAAATTATTATTTCAGGGACAATAACTCCAAATTAGGTTGTACAATTCGTCTGAAAATTTTCTAGCAAATAGATCTTGACCAGGTGATGTAAAACAGTGAGATAAAAATGATGGCAATACATGGTCAACTACACATGATGGCAATCAATAGTACCAAGTATGAGAACGTTCTTTCAAGTAATCTCAGAAGAGTTGCCGTCACAAGGAAACAACATAATAATACTCCAAATAAAGGTCAAAGTCCGATAGCTCCCATAAAATGGTCTGACCAAAATGACGGTATTATATGGTCAACTACACATGATGGTAAAAAATCCTAGCTTTCCGAAAATCTGACTCAGAGAGTTTCTTTTTTAAAGGTGTCTTTGTTCCAATACTAAAAAATAGATCCATGTCCCATTACTCCTGTTATATTTGTACAATCAAACTGAAGATATAGCATGGTCAAGAAAATATGATGACAAAATAATCCTACCAAGCATGAAAGCTTTATGTCAACTGGTATTGATGCAAGTGGATGGAGAACATTACCATATCCCCGATGACCCGATGCGCTAGGGACAATATTTTTTTATATTTGTTGTTTATTACCAACTGCACTGAAATTGGTGCCGTTTATGTTATGATGTATTATCTTATAAAACATAACTCTGTTCAACGATAACAAACTGAGAATTGTACCTAAATTTGTTGACATTACGCTTTTTTAAAATTTAAAATTTAATTAATGGTGACGTCAGTCTTATTTTTGCATATGGGGGTCATCAGCAATAATTTTTAAGCTGAAACAGATATATTCCTTATTCAAAGTTTGTAGGCAATTGTAGGTTATTTTTAATTTTTTATTTTTCAAGTTTTGTATAATTTGATAGTAGTAGTAAGAATTTTAATGTTGATGCATTGGTAAGCAATAATTTTGAAACAGAATAATAATATGATATTTTGTAGAAATTCTTCCTTTATATGACTTCTAGAATTATTTATGAAATTTTCTCCTTCAAAAAATGATATTTGCCATGTTTGATGACAATCTGTTTCAAACATCATCATTTCTAAGGAGATCAAAAATACATCAGTTCCATATTAGTGTAATTACTATTTTACAGACTTTCCATAATTGAATGCTTGTTGGTGGATGATATATAAGAGACAAAAGTGCCCGTGATTGTGGCATCTTAGGAATTAGAAATTATAGAATTTGCATGCTTCCAACATGTAGAATACGTATCATTTTCGAATTAAAAAAAATGTCTGCCAGGTTTGTGTTGTTTGGTTGCTGTCTTCATGACAATAAAACACACCTCCTTATAATTATTTCAGTAAGTAAAGGAAACATCCATGCATTACATTTTATTAGCCCAAGAGAAAAACTATGTTTCTGACACAACCATCTGAAGATTTAGGACTTTTCTGTCCATGGTGTTTGTTCGGGGTCTTCTGTGAATCTGTGTTTGTGTTGTATTCCACTACCACCTGTACTTTCTTGTAATTTAGTCTTCATTTGCTGCAATGAAACATATAATTCTATATCATACAAAATCAATGCACATTCACTAAGCCATAAATTTTGTTGTATGCCATTATGAATATTCCCTTCAAAAAAAAGAAGAAAGAAAATTAAAACTTTAAAATTGTTTCCATGAACAAGCTTATGGTTCTTTGTTAAACTTTGTATCATGGTAACTGTCTAATATCAAGGGTCGAACTTGATTTCTTTCTCATATAGAACGATTGATTGATTGCAGCTTAACATCCAGTGGCAAATATCCCATGCATGTTCATGACGATTTATAGACCTAATCGCAATCTTTACAATGAAAAACTATGGAAAATTTATAAGTAAATTGACAGTGATATAGGGATTGTGTAATCCACATGGAAATGAAATGTACAGTGGATTTTGGTTATTTGCATAGCCCACTTTCCAGAAAAAGCTATGTTACTATGCGAACTTTGCTTATATTTGACCGAGTCATGGCAATTTGGAAGAATAAGAAATCCATGATGGAAGAAGAGGGCTGGAATCCACATGTACATTGAGGCTGTCCCAAAATTTATAGGATGGGGACGGGAGGCATTCAAATTAATTAAATATGGGTGGTGGCATATTCCTTAGAATTTTGTAAGAATTATAAGTAAAATGAATCTGGAACAGTCCTTATTGAATTAAGAAATAATGCATGCAAACTATGTGAAAATGATAAAAAATCAAGGGCTTGTATGAATTATTTCGATTCTAATAGTACAAATACAAATACAGTAATTTAAACAAGAGTGCACACGCTGAAATGTCTCGCCTGTTTTACTGACTATTGAGTTTATGTTGAAAGTCTTAAAGATAAAGGTTTTACCACAAGTATCACATAAAGTTAACATTTTTAAAGATCCATGACAATGAGGTCAAGGTCAGATAAAAACTGTCACACAGACGTGTACACCTTACAATTATTCAATACACCAAATATAGTTGACCCATTGCTTATGGTAATTGAAAAACAGAACAATACACAAAACTTAACGTTAACCAATGAACCATGAAAATGAGGTCAAGGTCAGATGATACTGACTAGACAGACATGTACACCTTACAATCATTCAATACACCAATTATAGTTGACCTATTGCTATTAGTATTTGAAAAACAGACGAAAACACAAAAACTTAACATTGACTAATGAACATGAAAATGAGGTCAAGGTCAGATGACACCGGCTAGACAGAATGTACACCTTACAATCATTCCATAAACTAAATGTAGTTGACCTATTGCTTATAGTACTTGAAAAACAGACCAAAACACAATAACTTAGCATTGACCAATGTACCATGAAAACGAGGTCAAGGTCAGATGACACCAGCTAGACAGACATGTACACCTTATAATCATTCCATACACCAAATATAGTTGACCTATTGCTTACAGTACTTGAAAAACAGACCAAAACACAAAAAAATAACAATGATCAATGAACCATGAAAATGAGGTTCAGGTCAGATGAAACCTGCCAGTCTGACATGTACCCCTTACAATCATTCCAAACACCACATAAAGTTGGCCTGCTGCTTGTAGTATCTGAGAAACGGATCTAATCAGGTAACTTTAACCTTGATCACTGATCCATGAATTGAGGTCGAGGTCAGGTTAACCCTGTCTGACGGACATGTAGATGTTGTAAGGAACCCATATATCAAATATAGTTATCCTATTACTCATAATAAATGAGAAATTCACATGACAAAAAAACTGTTAAAATGATTGATCAACGGAAATGAAACAGTGTCAATAATCGAAAGTCGTACTCGAAAAGGCTGTGAAATATTTCCGTTTCAAGACTTCAAGACGTTACAAAACACTGAACACCATTTAAACTTTTTATTTTATGATTTTAAGTTAAAAAAATATAATACAGATGGTTTTTGTATGCATAACGATACGTCCAAAATTAAGTAAGGCGTAAGTATATTGAAACCGGAAGTGTATTAGCCCATGGGCCAATACGGCTTTTTTCCGTATTGGCCCTGTTTTTTCGGTTTTGGCCCTGTCCGAAAAGCAATATTAACTCTTGATTTATATCAACAGAGCAACGTCATCAGAATTGCACATGCTGATTTATCCGTATAAGGGCTGATTTGCTCATATCATTTAATAAATTAATATATCATTGGCTCAGCTGTCGGAAACTACAAAGATTTCAGAAAGATTCGATGAAATCCGTTTACTGTTTATAAAGAATTTGAAAATACAAAGTAAGGATAGGTAACTAAATAGACAAACAAACAAACTCAACAATTAAAACTAGACATAAAACTTTTATATAAAATCTAAACATCTCTATTAACCTCTTTGTTTATAAGTTATACTGTGAACAAATATGTACATAAGCATAGCATGATTTACAGTATTTCATAAATATGTATTAAATCAAAAGTACCTTAGATCTTGACACAAGTGTTTATGTTTGTCCCAGTCAGATCTCTGACATTCTTCACTACAGTATGGCGTCTTACATCTGCTGCACTGGCAGAAACCTGTATGATGTAACATACAAATTTCGTTTACAATATTTGTAAAAAAAATTAACATGAATCAGTACAATATGGACCATATGAGTAGGTACAAATAAATCCTGTTAATTAGCATCTACTTTAAAACAACTGATTAACAGACAAATCTTCTCACGAACAGCGGTTGATTTTAATAAATTTGACTACTACGTAATTTTTTGTCCGTATATATTGTTTATAACAAACTTCTTGTTTAGTTAATCATAATATCTTTTTAAAATTCATGAACAAAAGCAGCTTTACATTTTTTAGCAGTTAAAAGTCCATTAAAGTAATACACAATTCAATTTTCCAAGAAAATGATACTATCATTCAATTCAGTATGCTTGTCTATTTTAAAAGATATTTACTATACTGAGGACTCATTTATTTTTATGGTACCTTATTCTTCGTGGATTGTGGAAAACTTGCATTTTCGTGGATATTTCATTTGGTGGTTTTACCAAAGTCTGAATATATTCCTTTTGAATATTTGTAATGTGTTGGACATTTAAATTCGCGGTTTCCATGTAACCACAAAATTCACGAAAACTGGTATCCAACGAATAATAATGAACCCACAGTATCTACAATTTACCCTTGTAATTACATTTGTCATCCTTACTGAAAGACATTTTAAATAGTATGCCACTATATATAATTGAATACATTACACATGATAACTGAAATTGTGGATGTTACACTAGCAAAAGATATTTTTATCAATCATGGTTGCCTTTCTGTTTATTAGATAATGTATAAAAAAACACAAAGACCAAGTATAAATGAACCAAATCATAGTCTACAAAATATAATGTATAGGGATTAAAATCCCTAAGCATTGTACTGTACACTTCATTGGAATTATTTCTTCTTTGTGAATAAAATATACGTGTACCTGTTGTAAAGCACACACTACATGGTCTTGGGTCCACTTTTTTTGTTCTTTTGACATCCACTCTTGGACCTAATATAGATGCAAAAATAATAAAAAAACACAAGAGGCTCCTAAGAGCCTGAATCGTTCACCAGGAATTGTTTTGTGCAGATCTTTCATCAATGATTATTTTGCTGTTTAATATATATTAATGCTGGTTTCAACATGCCTTTGAAACATTCTCTCTATCTATCATAGTTTCTGCAAAGGTAAAAAAAAATTTGATAAAAAATTATCTTTCAAGGACAATGACCCCTATAAGGGATCAATAGAAAATTTCGGTTATGTTGTTTTATATATAGGTCTTACTTTGTTGAACAATTTTGCTGTTAGAAGTTTCTCTCTATCATAGTTTCAGCAAAAAACTAAAAAATGGTAAAAAAATCTCCATTCAAGGGCAATAACTCCTAAAAGGGATCAATTGATAATTTCGGTTATGTTTGACCTTTTTGTAGGCCTTACTTTGCTGAGCATTTTAACTGTTTGAAGTTTCACACTATCTATCAAAGTTTCTTAAAATAACATTAAAACAGTCTTTCAGCATGTTCAAGGGCTATAACTCCAATAAGGGACCAATTAACGAACTCTGTTCTTAAAACTTATTGGTAGAAGTTTCTCTCTATCATAGTTTCAGCAAAAAACTAAAAAATGGTAAAAAAATCTCCATTCAAGGGCAATAACTCCTATAAGGGATCAATTGATAATTTCGGTTATGTTTGACCTTTTTGTAGGCCTAACTTTGCTGAGCATTTTAACTGTTTGAAGTTTCACACTATCTATCAAAGTTTCTTAAAATAACATTAAAACAGTCTTTCAGCATGTTCAAGGGCAATAACTCCAATAAGGGACCAATTAACGAACTCTGTTCTTAAAACTTATTGGTAGAAATAATTTTGCTTAACATTTCTCTTTATCTATAATATTTAGGATAACAACCGAAAACTGCGAAATTTCACAAAACTGTGGCAATAACTCCAAATTAAGTCGCCCGATTTGTCTGAAAATATTCTCAGGATTTTGACCTGCTAATTATTTTATCCCATCAGTTTTGCTCTGACTGCTTTAGCGTTTGATATATAAGCAAATAAAGAGCAAATAAAGAGTGCAGAGTGACGCTGAAATGTCTCGTCTTCTTTACTGACCGTTGATTTTATGTTTAAATTCTTAAAGATAAAGGTTTTACTACAAGTATCGCATAAACTTAACATTTTTAAAAGATCCATGGTTATTGAAAAACAGACCAAAACACAAAAAAATAACACTGACCAATGGACCATGAAAATGAGGTCAATATCAGATGATACCTGCCAGATAGGTAGGATAACAACCGAAAACTGCAAAATTTCGTAAAACTGTGGCAATAACTCCAAATTGAGTCGTCCAATTTGCCTGAAAATATTCTCACTAATAGATTTTGACCTGCTGATTATTTTGATCCCATCAGTTTTGCTCTGACTGCTTTAGCGTTTGATAAATAAGCAAATAAAGAGTGCACACGCTGAAATGTCTCGCCTGCTTTACTGACCGTTGATTTTATGTTGAAAGTCTTAAAGATAAAGGTTTTACTACAAGTATCGCATAAACTTAACATTTTTAAAAGATCCACGGTTATCGAAAAACAGACCAAAACACAAAAACTTCACACTGACCAATGGACCATGAAAATGAGGTCAATATCAGATGATACCTGCCAGACAGACATGTACACCTTACAATTATTCCATACACCAAATCTAGCTGACCTATTACTATTAGTATTTGAAAAGAACAGACCAACACACAAAAACTTAAACATTGACTAATGAACCATGGAATGAGGTCAATGTCAGATGATACCTGCCAGACAGACGTGTACACCATATAATCATTCCATAAACCAAATACAGTTGACCTATTGCTTATAGTACTTGCAAAACAGACCAAAACACAAACATTGACCAATGAACCATGAACCATGAAAATGAGGTCAAGATAAGATGAAACCTGCCCGACTGACATGTGCCCATTACAATTATTCCATACACCACATACAGTTGATCGACTGCTTATAGTATCTGTGAAACGGACCAAATCACGTAGTTTCAACCTTGATCACTGATCCATGAAATGAGGTCGAGGTCAGGTGAACACTACCTGACAGACATGTAGACGTTGCAAGGAACACATATACCAAAATATAGTTATCCTATTACTCATAATACGTGAGAAATTAACATGACAAGAAAACTATATTTTTTTTCCAAGCAGTCGCTGAACCATGAAAATGAGGTCAAGGACAATGAACATATGACAGACGGAAACTTCGTAACATAAGATATCTGCATACAAGGTATGGAGCATCCAGGTCTCCTACCTTCTGAAATATAAAGGTTTATACAAAGAGTTTACATCGCCGTCACCACCGGACAGTAATACCTATGTTCTTTTTAGCAATGGCGGCCATGTTTGTTGATTAACCGGAATAAACAAAAACACAACATTTATACTATGTACCATAAGGATCATTCACACCAAGTTTGGTTGAAATTTGTTTAGTAGTTTCAGAGGAGAAGATCTTTGAAAACGTTTACGACGACGATAAACGTCAAGTGATGGCAAAAAAGGGCCATGTGAGCTAAATAGGGAGATTAGTTTTACGAACAATATGGTATCCTGTTCTACATCAATATTATATCATTTCAGAAAGTTTGATGAATTTTTGAGTATGTTGGTGGGTTTTTATGATTTCGAGAATTGAGCAGTCTCATTTTACACAACTAATTTTCAATTCCTCTGTCGAAAACTTATAAAAGTTATGACTGAAATGAGATTAGGGGCGAGATAAATGTGACCCAACGACACAATAACACAAACAAAACCATCAAAAGGTCGAGATAAGGGCTGCAACAATATACAATACGTCAATATTTTAATCACTTTCAGTCTAAAAAAAAGTTCTGAGACCTGCGATCAACACAAAGTTCACATAATGGCAAAAGCATATGTTTTCGTGTCACAATGACAATCATTTATAAGGTTCCTGGATGAACTATTCCTGATTTTAAATTTCAACAAGTGGAAACGAAAAGAGCATACATTACTTTTAATAAAGATCAGAACAAGAAAAGCACTCATCTTAATAATAACGGTATCCCAGAGAAATGCATAATAAGTGCATTGTATACTGATACATGATAATCTTATAATTAATTGAAAATGTGTTTATTGTCTGTTTTTGTTTTGATCAGATATGGCCAAATGTTTTATGAAACTATATAAAGTGCGTGTAAATATTCCCTTCATAAAATATTTGTTTTTACCAATGTGCATCACATACCATCAAGACATCCTGATAACTGTGATAGAAAAAAATGGAGAATGTGTCCCCGTGGACACAGATGATGCCCCCGCTTGCATACAACATTATAAAGGGACATAACTCAAGAACGATAAAAGTGACGCTACCCAAATTTGTACTTGATCTGAGTTTTGTGGTAATAAGTATTGTGTAAAGGTCTCATAATGTTTGGTTGGGACAAACTTAAGTTACAGAACGGAAACTAAAAATTTTGCAATTTTTCGATTTTTAAAGGGCATAACTCGATAATGATTAAAGTGACGCCACCAAAATTCAACTTGATCTGTATTTTGTAGTAAAAAGCATTGTGTATAAGTTTCATAACATTTGGTTGAGGCAACTTAAGTTAGAGAACGGAAACTAAAAATTTTGCATTGTTTTCCATTTAAAAAGGGCCATAACTCGTGAATGGTTGAAGTGACCCTACCAAAATTCAAACTTGATCTGTGTTTTGTGGTAATAAGCATTGTGTATAAGTTTCATAACATTTGGTGGAGGCTAACTCAAGTTGGAGAACGGCAACTAAAAATTTTGCAATTTTTTTCCATTTATAAAGGGGCATAACTCTAGAACGGTTAAAGTGACACCACCAAAATTCTAACTTTATCTTTGTTTTGTGGTAATTAGCATTGTGTATAAGTTTCATAACATTTGGTTGAGGCAAAATTAAGTTAGAGAACGGAAACTAAAAATTTTGCAATTTTTCCATTGATAAAGGGGCATAACTCAAGGGCGGTTAAAGTGACGCCAGCAAAATTTAAACCTGATCTGTGTTTTGTGGTACATTTGTTATAAGCATTGTGTATAAGTTTCATAACATTTGGTTAAGGTAACTTAAGTTAGAGAACGGAAACTAAAAATTTTGCAATTTTTCCATTTATAAAGGGCATAACTCGATAATGATTAAAGTGACGCCACCAAAATTCAACTTGATCTGTATTTTGTAGTAAAAAGCATTGTGTATAAGTTTCATAACATTTGGTTGAGGCAACTTAAGTTAGAGAACGGAAACTAAAAATTTTGCATTGTTTTCCATTTAAAAAGGGCCATAACTCGTGAATGGTTGAAGTGACCCTACCAAAATTCAAACTTGATCTGTGTTAAGTGGTAATAAGCATTGTGTATAAGTTTCATAACATTTGGTGGAGGCAAACTCAAGTAAGAGGACGGCAACTAAAAATTTTGCAATTTTTCCATTTATAAAGGGGCATAACTCTAGAACAGTTAAAGTGACACCACCAAAATTCTAACTTGATCTGTGTTTTGTGGTAATTAGCATTGTGTATAAGTTTCATAGCATTTGGTTGAGGCAAATTTAAGTTAGAGAACGGAAACTAAAAATTTTGTAATTTTTCCATTTATAAAGGGGCATAACTCTAGAACGGTTAGAGTGACGCTACCAAAATTCAAACTTGATCTGTATTTTGTGATAATAAGCATTGTGTATAAGTTTCATAACATTTGGTTAAGGCAAACTTAAGTTAGAGAACAGGAACTAAAAATTTTGCAATTTTTCCATTTATAAAGGGGCATAACTCAAGGGTGGTTAAAGTGACGCCACCAAAATTTAAAACTGATCTGTGTTTTGTGGTACATTTCTTATAAGCATTGTGTATAAGTTTCATAACATTTGGTTAAGGTAACTTAAGTTAGAGAACGGAAACTAAAAATTTTGCAATTTTTCCATTTATAAAGGGCCTAACTCTAGAACGGTTTAAGTGACGCCACCAAAATTCGAAGTTGATCTGTGTTGTGTTGTAATAAGCATTGTGTATAAGTTTCATAACATTTGGTTGAGGCAAACTCAAGTTAGAGAACGGAAACCAATTTTGGGACGTTCGTACAGACGGACAAGGGTAAAACTAAATGCCCCTCCGCTACGGCGGGGGCATAAAAAGATCGGAAAATTCCTGAGAATAGAGATTTTATTGATTGCTTACAGAAATTGTAAATAGTTCCGTTCAACCCTGTGTCTCGCCTACGATTACTGCTGTCAGTGAAAAAGTGTAATGTTGACTGCAAAAAGGAAGTCTATTTAACAGTAAAATACAGAAATAAAAATAACCAAGTCTCTAAAGAGCCTCTGTTCTGCACCTCGGTCTATATGCGTCTGCATCAATGAACACTCTCCAACATTGTAGACTAGAATATCAATCATGACCGAAGTACCTTTTTTTGTTGTATTTTAATAATTGGTGATATTTTTTTCTGTTTACAGTTTCTCTCTGTCTACTATAATAGTTGTTGTAGAAAACACAAAAAGAATCGTCATTTAAGGGCAAAACTCCAATAAGAAGACAACTGACAAATTTTTCTACATGTATCCTGACCTATATGCAGATCTTGTCTTGCTGATGATTTTGCTTATAGTTTTCAAATTAATAGGCTTTCAACTGATTTTTATAGTTTGTTCTTATGTTGTGCTGTAACACCACTGTCCCAGGTTAGGGGAGGGTTGAGCGCTCACAAACATGTTTAACCCCGCAACATTCTTTATGTGCCTGTCCCAAGTCAGGAGCCTGTTGTTCAGTGGTTGTCGTTGGTTCATGTCTGTCTTATTAGCTTTTCGTAAATTGTTTTGTTATAAATTAGGCCGTTAGTTTTCACAATTGAATTGTTTCATATTTTTCTTGTCGGGGCCATTTATAGCCGACTATACGGTATGGGTTTTTCTCATTGTTGAAGGCAGTATGGTTGCCTATAATTGATTTGAACTATGGTGGATAGTTGTCTCATTGGCAATCATACCACATCTTCTTATTTTTATAAAGACGCAAAAGTGGCGAAAATTCATTAAAGGGCTCTAACCTATACATAGAGTTGACCAACGTTAGAGTTAGACAAAATCAAACGTTATCAACCAACGGAACGAGTGAAAAACAACTGTTATATTTCTGCTTGGTACAGGCATTTTCCGAAGAAAATAGTGGGTTATACCTAGTTTTATAGCTAGCTATACCTCCCACTTGTGTGACAGTTGTTTATAGTTCCGTTATATTGACAAAATCGGGTGAGCAACCCAAACAGACATAATCATGATAATATGTACTAATTGTGAGAATAATTGGGATCCAGCAGCCAAAACTTTGTAAACATACACCACAGACATATAACACAAAATTCAAATAAAAAACATACAAATGAATTTAACAACGAAGCCAACAAAAGGGTTTATGTAGCTGATAGTAAATTTGAGAAAGACGCTAACAAAAGTTTTTTATAGTTGATAGTACATACAGTATAAATTATGCTCTTTCTCTATAAAGAACAAATTAAGTAAAATATAAATACAAGGGTAAACGAAATGGAAACAACATTGTAAAAACCTCTTTCGTCCGAATCGCACCACAGGACACCAGGAACGAAGAGGTACATAACAATTCAAAGTACCACCAGTGTTACATATGTAAATACAGAGATGATTTTGTCTGGAAATAAAATTAACTAAAAGCCATAAAAAAACGCCTCTACCGTCTTACAAAAATGTCACTTCTAACAGCTCTTACATTATATACCAATTGCAAAGGAAAGTAGCTGAAATAAGTTAATTTTACTGTTAAAAATCATCCCTGTAAAGATTAACAGCCGTCTGTTACTATCACAGTCTGCAAGAACTCTTTCTTCATTTGAAATCTTTGAAAAGTATTAAAAACTAGTCGCGCAATACTTACCAATATTGTCTGTTGAATTGTTAATCATACCAGAGAATGTAGCATTCATATCGTCGACAGGTTCTGGAATCACGCTGGCAGACATTATCTGAGCTTGTTTGATCTTTTCCAATTTGATCACAACAGTTGGTGGACTAGTTTCCATCGATATCAGTCCAAATGACGTGATGTTTAGGAGTAAATCCTCAATAAACTCATTTTGAGCACATTTCAAGGAAAGCTGTTTCAAGCGGCCATCTTCTGTTAATGACTGAATATATGTCTCTTCAGACTCGATCTTCTCCTGGAGCTTTTTGCTTCCTATGAAACTTTGTAAGTCCGATGCATGATTCTTAAGATATGAAATGTTATTTTGTAACACTGCTATCCTATCTGATTTCTCCTGAAGTTCTTTTAACAGATCCTCAATTTTGATATTCATATCACATTCAGCTGTGCATAACTGTTTAATGGTTTCTTTTTCTAGTTTATCAAGATGGCAGTTTATTCTTTTGCGTAGTTGTTTGAGTCCATCATAAATTTTTTGTCGCTGTGCTTTTATGTTTGTAAGATTTGTTTGTCTGTCTTGGACTATTCTATCAATGTTGTTTTTCATGCCTTCTAATGAGTTCTGCAAACTTTCAAATAAACCACTAGATTGAGACGTTTTCGCAATGTCCTCAATGGGTAACATCCCCGTACAATCTTTATGACTTGTTGAAATGCATAAAAGACAACAAAGTTGATCATGACGGGGACAGTACATTTGAAGATTTTTCTCATGTTCGGTGCAGTGGTGCATTATACTTGAAATTTCAGTGGGCAATTTTCTGTAGTCCTCAATTGAAATAACGTCATGATGTCGACTTGCTTTGGAAAAGCTATGATGGCTTTTACATTTATCACAGAGACCATCGTCACACTCCGGGCACCAGAAATCTGCAATTTTCGTGATATGCTGGGCGTCACATATCCCACACAATACTTTTGTTGGAGTGTCCATGGGACCTGAAAAAGAATCAGATATCAAGTCATTATATGTTTATATTTAATCAAACACAACAAGAGTGCCCATGCTGAGATGTCTCGCCTGCTTTACTAAACATGATTGAATTTTATGTTGAAAGTCTTTTAGATCAAGGTTTACCTACAGATATTACACAAACTTAGGAAGCCAGAGTGCCCGGAGAGAACCACAGACTTTCGGTAGGAAAACTGACAATCCTAGTCAATTAAGATTAAGACCTGCAACGTGCGGGATTCGATCTCACAACCTCAGTTTTGACAGGCTAGTGATACAGTAGTTCCGACTACTTAGACCACTCGGCCATCAAACCTCGCCACCCCTTTCTCCCGCCCATGGAAGATGAACATGTGCACATTACAATATTACCATACACTTTCAAATATATTTCAGAAAATACCCATAAAAGTTTGTATTTTGAAATAAATCAAAATTATACACACATCCTGGTCTTTTAAGTGATCACTTTTCTGACAACTGGGGTGTTTGCATAGAAATGTTGGATAATCCTTGCAATTGTTAGTAACGGACGTAATCAAGAAAACTTTACATTGACAAATGAACCATGAAAATGAGGTCAAGGTCTAAAACAGAATAATAAAGTACTAATATCACAAATAAATGTTTTGTTCAGGTTTTTATTGTAAAAAGTGGTAACTTTAGAAATCGCTAGTATTGTCGCCTAAGGAGAAAACAGTACTACCGTTTTCCCTGAAACGTCACAGTACCCAAATTGCACACATTTAGCAAAAATGACAACGGAAATCGTACAAGTTTTCTTAGACTTGTTAGAGACAAAACAATTTGTATGTTTATGATTTGACATTATGCACGTCTTTCAACAAAGCTAAATATATTTAAATATACACAAAACGTTCACAGTATATAGGAATTTTTGTCAAATGTTCGGACTCCTTGGGGTTTTTTCCTATGATGCAGAGTAAAATATTTTGCCCCATATCACCCACTTTTCTTTTCATAGAAGACTTCAATAGCTGATAAAAAGGTCATTACCAAAATTTAAGCAGATTCTAGATTTTTTTCTTACGATTTGAGACCCAAATAATGCCAATGCTAAATATAAGGTAAAAGTCCGAGTCAGCCTTTTCCCGCCATTTTTTAAAATGCAAATATCTCAAAAAGGGTTTCCATAACCTATCAGTATTTTTAGCTTATTTTGTTTCTTAAATGCTCTTTTGACTTATAGTATCGATTTTAAATTCTAGATTGTTTTAATTTCACCTTACTACACCCTTACGTCCGCATAAAGTTAACTTTTGAAAATGAGCAATTAAGATATGTTACAGGCGTCCATTTCCTAACAAATGAATAGTAAGCATACGCTATTGTCAAATATTCTAAATAAAAACACATTGATAATTTTAAGGCAAACAAGTATTTTTTTTCGAGTCAAAAGCAACTGTCAATACACCTTTGTAAATTTGACGAGCTGAGCAAGCCACCCCAAATATTTTAGGCCAGAATTTCCATTTTCTTGTGCGACAAAGCCAGCCGAACTATTATAATTTCCAACTTAATGTGGACCAGAATCTTTATTATCAAAAACCTGCCACCCTCCTCATTTTCAAATGGGTATCCCCTAATCAGAAAATAGTGGTCCATTAAAGTAAAAATTGATTGTTCAATATCGTGAAGTAAATAGGAATTGATGACATCCAGCTAGATTTGGCAAAAGAGAGACAATTCTGGCATTCATATCTTTTTTTATTTCTAAAGGTATGTTGGTTTAAGTTAGGAATGTCCTACTTTCTCACTAACCAAATACTAGTATTAAAGCTAAAAATTGCCAAAATGTATAAAGGTCGTACAACCTGATTTGATTTGATTTTTTGGTGTTTTAACGCCACTTTTAAGCACCGCTTTTGGGCTATTTCGTGGCGGCCAGTTTTTATTGGTGGAGGAAGCCGGAGTGCCCGGAGAAAACCACCGACCTTTGATAGGAAAACTGACAATCCTAGTCAATTAAGATTGGAGTCGAGTGCACCCGCACGAGCGGGGTTCGAACTCACAACCTCAGTGTTGACTGGCTAGTAATTACAGTAGTAACTACTTAGACCACTCGGCCACCGAGGCCCCTCGTACAACCTGAAAAAACAAAACTCGGTGTCAGCAAAGCTCGATTGCTGAGTAAACAAGGTGTTGTCCAGTCTTTGAAAGTCGGCAACAATGTTACACTATCAGGAGTTATTAGAGGCTTTAAAGAGTCAGTGTCGCTCACCTAGATTTATGTGCATCTTCAACAATGGACACACTCCAACATTGTGGACTAGAATATAGTCACGACAAAAATATTTTTTTAAGTTTTGTTTTGCAAATCATTTTCTGTTTCGAGTTTCTCTCTATCTTCTATAGTTTTTGCCCAAAACACATAAAAGGGTTTAAAAATATGTTATTTAAGGGCAAAGACTGCTGTAAAGATCACCAAGAATCTACCAACGATTTCAGCAATATTTGAATGATTTGTAGATCTTGCCTTGTTGATCATATTTGCTATTTATAGTGGCCATCTATAAAAATAATCAAGGTAAGAGGCAGAACACTTAAAATGGGTAAAAATCCACCTTAAAGAGCAATAACTCCAATAAGGAGGGAACTGACGCCATTAGATATATTTGTAGCTCTTGTCTTGATGGTCATTAATTGTCATTAAAGGGTAATAACTCCAATAAGGGGTCGTCAGACGATTTCATCCATGTTGACTTATTTGTATATTTTGTCTTGCTATTAATTTTTGCTTATTTCAGTTTCTATCTATCTATCAGTCTAGGAGTTTTTCAGATATTAGGCAAAGACACAAAAAAATAATAAAAACCGCCATTAAAGGGCAATAACTCCATCAAGGAGTCGTCTGACGATTTCGACTATTTGACTTATTTGTAGATGTTGTCTTACTGATCATTTTTGCAATTTTTAAATTTCTATCTATCCTTTATAAGTTTCAAAATAAAAAGCAAAGTTAAAAAAAATGTATAATTAATCATTTAAGGGCAATATCTTCTGTAAGAAATCGTCTGAGAGTTTTGACGTAAATCGCCAATAGGTAGATTTCATCATTCTGAACATTTATGCCTCAATCGGATTTTTTTTTTTGCTATTTATAGCGACTTTCAAGATAATAGACAAAATTTGTATTTTTGATTGCTTTATTTTAAGCTATGTCGGCCATGTTGGTTGACAAACGGGGTCATCGGACACATTTTTAAAACTAGATACCCTAATTATGATTCTGGCCAAGTTTGGTTAAATTTAGGTCAACAGTTTAAGAGGAGAATATTTTTGAGCAATTAACGACGACGGACGACGGAAGCCAATGGATGAGAAAAGCTTACTTGGCCCTTTGGTCCAGGTGAGATATATTTGTCATAGTGTTGGATAACTTCGGTTGAAATTACCAACTGATTATCTATTACTATCGGTTGAGAGCAACCAACCGACTATCGGTTATAATCGCATCATTATACCTTGCCCTTTTTTTAAATGAAATAATGCATTTAGTCACGTTGTACATGTCTAATGTGTATATTCCATATCATTGCAGAGTTTATATGTTCATATTTGATCTTTTGTTTCCTTTTCATATTTTATTTAGCAACTAAAACAGTGAATCAATTAGAATCCAGATTCTAGAATGAAATTTGAAAAAAAGGCAGGATGAGCAACTTGGCAAAAAAAAAAGGCAGGATGACAGTTTATGTAAACAAGAGGCTCTCAAGAGCCTGAATCGCTCACCTGTATTTCAGAGGAGAAGATTTTCAAATGTTAGCAAACTTGATGAACAAATTTTGTAAAATTGTCTTTAAAGGGCAATGACTCCTTAAGGGGTCAATTGACAATTTTGGTCAAATTAACTTTTTTGTAGATCTTATTTTGCTGAACATTATTGCTGCTTACAGTTTATATATATCTATTATAATATTCAAAATAATAACAAAAAACTGCAAAATTTTATTAAAACTACCAATTCGGTGGCAGCAACCCAACAATGGGATGTTCGATTCGTCTGATAATTTCAAGGCCGATAGATCTTGACCAATTAAACAATTTTACCCCATGTCACATTTGCTTTAAAAGATTTAGTTTTTGAGATATAAGCCAAAAACTGCATTTGACCCTTATGTTCTATTTTTAGCCATGGCGGCCATGTTTGTCGATGGATACAAACTTCAGGTACAACTTATAAACAAGATACCATAAGGAACATTCAGTTAAAGTTTGAAGGTAATGAGCCCAGTAGTTTCAGAGGAGAAGATTTTTAAATGTTAGCAAACTTGATGAACAAATTGTGTAAAATTGTCTTTAAAGGGAAATAACTCCTTAAGGGGTCAATTGACAATTATGGTCATATTAACTTTTTTTGTAGATTTTACTTTGCTGAACATTATTGCTGCTTACAGTTTATATAAATCTATAATATATTAATATTCAAAATAACAAAAAACTGCAAAATTTTGTTAAAACTACCAATTCGGTGGCAGCAACCCAACAATGAGTTGTTCGATTCGTCTGAAAATTTCAGGGCCGATAGATCTTGACCAATTAAACAATTTTACCCCATGTCTAATTTGCTCTAAAAGATTTAGTTTTTGAGATATAAGCCAAAAACTGCATTTGACCCTTATGTTCTATTTTTAGCCATGGCGGCCATGTTTGTCAATGGATACACACTTCGGATACAATTTATAAACAAGATACCCTAAGGAACATTTAGTTAAAGTTTGAAGGTAATTGGCCCAGTTATTTCAGAGGAGAAGATTTTTAAATGTTAGCAAACTTGATGAACAAATTGTGTAAAATTGTCTTTAAAGGGCAATAACTCCTTAAGGGGTCAATTGACAATTATGGCCATATTAACTTTTTTGTAGATCTTACTTTGCTGAACATTATTGCTGCTTACAGTTTATATATATCTATAACAATATTCAAAATAATAACAAAAAACTGCAAAATTTTGTTAAAACTACATATTCGGTGGCAGCAACCCAACAATGGGTTGTTCGATTCGTCTGAAAATTTCAGAGCTGATAGATCTTGACCAATTGACCAATTTTACCCCGATGTCAGATTTGCTCTAAAAGCTCTAGTTTTTGAGATATAAGCCAAAAACTGCATTTGACCCCATGTTCTATTTTAGCCATGGCGGCCATGTTTATCGATGGATCAAAACTTCGGATACAATTTATAAACAAGATACCCTAAGGAACATTTACTTAAAGTTTGAAGGTATTTGGCCCAGTAGTTTCAGAGGAGAAGATTTTTGAAATAATTTACGACGACAGACGACGACGACGACAGATGACGGACGACGACGGACGCCAAGTGATGGCATAAGCTCACACGGGGCCCGAAGGGCCCCGGTGAGCTAAAAAAGTCAGCATAAACTAATAAAAAAATAAAAGGCAGGACCGAATAGAGTGAAAAATAAAAAGGCAGGACAGAGATTACAACTAAAAAAAAATGCAGGACAACATTTTTCATCCTACCCCTATAAAAATCAAATGGTAGCTCCCTAACAAGTACCGGAATTGAAAGAAAGTATTTCATAAAAAGTTATTTATTTTAAATAACATACGATCAATCTGTATAGTCAATGCTTTTACCACGTTTATAAACAAAGAAATTGGTTATATCTTTGATTATAGGATGTTTGACATTGTTATTGTCATCTGAGACTACTATAGTAGTCTCAGTTGTCATCGACTGATATTTTTTGTTACAATTTGTTTGACTGCGCATGTAAAATGCAAACCGGAAACGGACCGGAAGTTGATATGCTAAAAGTCCGGAAACTATAACGACAATCGATTGAACAAAATCCCAATCGATTATCGACATCGCCTGGCCCCCAACAACTGATTTCCGACTTATTCCGATCATCGGAACAACACTAGACTACCAATAGCCTGTCAACACAGAGGTTGTGAGTTGGAATCCCGCACGTGGTAGGTGTGTTCGACTCCAATCTTAATTTACTAGGATTGTCAGTTTTCCTACCGATTGATTGATTGATTGTTGGTTGCTTAACGTCCAGTGGCAAATTTTTCCTACCGAAGGTTGGTGGTTCTATCCGAGCATTTCGGCTTCCTCCACCAACAAAAAATTACCGCCACGAAATAGCACAATAGTACCGAAAGTCATTGAAAATCCATTGATATGATAAAAAAAAACATATGAGTGTATGATTTTTTTTGCATATATAAATATATATCAATTGTCGTAAAGCATATTATATAGCGACAAAACAAAATACAACAAGAACTTCGTATTGTATAAATTGTTAATTTGTTCTCGTCCTGCATGAAAATGCATGAAATATTTGCCACTTATGCGTAAAGAAAACATCAGTCAATCAATCACATTCTCTTTTAAGCGGAGTGTTGTTTTCATTTATGAAATAGCTAGGTCACACTTTGTACTTTAGTAAAGCAAAGTATTTTATTTCTTACATACTAGATGGTAGACACTATAGTTCAAATACCACGTCTACCGATTCTATGAAGTAGATTTTCAAATACGACCTGTGTCGGACTATTGGGGTGTCGGACTAATGGGGTGTCAGACTATTGGGGTGTTGGACTAATGGGGTGTCCGACCAATGGTGTGTCGGAATAACGGGGCTGCCCGGTAGTGTGTTGTGTTGTTGTATTTTTTTAAAGTCAAGTTTATTAACGTTCTAGACACATACCTTCTAAACTGTATAATAAGATTACTTTTAACAAATACACATCTGTCAACACTGAGTAATCATTGAACAGAGCTAGCTGTTCATGGCAGTCATCGGATTGTACGTCCACAACTAGCACGTTCAATTAAACATGATTTGATTGGCCTGTGACTTACACTGGTATAGATAAATTCATAACCATGGTTAAAAGTCGAGTTATCTCGCCTTCCACATTTTTGATACTTCGCAATATTATTTCTATTTTAACTATTTTATGTTTGTCTAGGATGAAAATTTAGATGAAATATATTACACAGGCAACACACCAAGCAATTGAGGAAAACAATAAATTGCTTAATTGGGCGAATTTCGTGGAAAACAACTGAGTTGATGATAATTTTGTTTGTTTACAGAAATTACGATCTAACTAATAATTAAAAAAACTGCATGCATGGAAAATCAATTTTAAATAAAATTGCCTTTTAATAGAAAACACCATCTTGCTTGGTAAACAGAAAACCAAGAAAGACAGAAAGGTTCAGATGAATTAATCAAAATGAAAGAATACATAGCTTTATATATCTGAGAGTATTTTGGTTTTGGTAATGAATCATTATATATGTCTCACATTGTCATTTTTACAAAATATAAAACTAAAATTTTCTAAAATCTATCAAGAAAGTCCAATGCAAATGAAAAGTGAAGTACACAAACCAAACATCGTTGACATCAGTGACACACAAACAAAACATCGGTGACATCAGGGACACACAAACCAAACATCGGTGACATCAGGGACACACAAATCAAACATCCCTGACATCAGGGACATACAAACCAAACATCGGTGACATCAGGGACACACAAACCAAACATCCGTGACATCAGGGACATACAAACCAAACATCGGTGACATCAGGGACACACAAACCAAACATCGGTACCATCAGGGACACACAAATCAAACATCGGTGACATCAAGGACACACAAATTAAACATCGGTGACATCATGGATGGACTGCCGAGTTCACAAGTACACAAACCAAACATCGGTGATATCAGGGATGGATTGCCGAGTTCACAAGTATACAAATCAAACATCGGTGACATCAGGGATGGATTGCCGTGTTCACAAGTACACAAACCAAACATCGGTGATATCAGGGATGGATTGCCGAGTTCACAAGTACATAAATCAAACATCGGTGACATCAGGGATCGATTGCCGAGTTCACAAGTACATAAATCAAACATCGGTGACATCAGGGATCGATTGCCGTGTTTACAAGTACACAAACCAAACATCTGTGATATCAAGGATGGATTGCCGAGTTCACAAGTATACAAATCGAACATCGGTGACATCAGGGATGGATTGTCGTGATCACAAGTACACAAACCAAACATCGGTGATATCAGGGATGGATTGCCGAGTTCACAAGTACATAAATCAAACATCGGTGACATCAGGGATCGATTGCCGAGTTCACAAGTATACAAATCAAACATCGGTGACATCAGGGATGGATTGCCGAGTTCACAAGAACACAAATCAAACATCGGTGACATCAGGGGTAGATTGCTTAGTTCACAAGTACACAAATCAAACATCGGTGAGATCAGGGATGGATTGCCGAGTTCACAAGTACACAAATCAAACATCGGTGACATCAGGGATGGATTGTCGAGTTCACAAGTACACAAATCAAACATCGGTGACATCAGGGATTGATTGCCGAGTTCACAAGTACACAAATCGAACATCGGTGACATCAGGGATGGATTGCCGAGTTCACAAGTACATAAATCAAACATCGGTGACATCAGGAATGAATTACCGAGTTCACAAGTACAAAAATCAAACATCGGTGACATCAGGGATGGATTGCCGAGTTCACAAGGTTCGTTAATAGCAAGGACATTACATTATTTTGTGTGAACGCTGCGCTAATCATTATGTTTTATTAAAACCAGTGTCCGTTTCAGATTAAGTGAATTTTGCAAACTGTACAGGACTATCCAAAGCAGGATTTTCCACCTGTGGGCTGATAATAGCATCGTATCTACCCGCTAGTCTGATAAGCACTTTTCCGTTTATGCTGTATCAGCAATGCAAATCTAGGGTTATCACAAGAAAAATATGAGATAATAATATTTATCATATACTTAGAATAAATAACTTATAATATTTACAGAATGATAATGGCACTAAATTTACGTGAATTCCATATTTTTCGAAATAGTGTTTAGAGGGCTGATATGAAAAATCGGTGAGATCAGGGATGGATTGCCGAGTTCACAAGTACACAAATCAAACATCGGTGACATCAGGGATGGATTGCCGAGTTCACAAGTACACAAATCAAACATCGGTGACATCAGGGATTGATTGCCGAGTTCACAAGTACACAAATCGAACATCGGTGACATCAGGGATGGATTGCCGAGTTCACAATTATACAAACCAAACATCGGTGACATCAGGGATGGATTGCCGAGTTCACAAGGTTCGTTAATAGCAAGGACATTACATTATTTTGTGTGAACGCTGCGCTAATCATTATGTTTTATTAAAACCAGTGTCCGTTTCAGATTAAGTGAATTTTGCAAACTGTACAGGACTATCCAAAGCAGGATTTTCCACCTGTGGGCTGATATTAGCATCGTATCTACCCGCTAGTCTGATAAGCACTTTTCCGTTTATGCTGTATCAGCAATGCAAATCTAGGGTTATCACAAGAAAAATATGAGATAATAATATTTATCATATACTTAGAATAAATAACTTATAATATTTACAGAATGATAATGGCACTAAATTTACGTGAATTCCATATTTTTCGAAATAGTGTTTAGCGGGCTGGTATGAAAAATCGGTGAGATCAGGGATGGATTGCCGAGTTCACAAGTACACAAATCAAACATCGGTGACATCAGGGATGGATTGCCGAGTTCACAAGTACACAAATCAAACATCGGTGACATCAGGGATTGATTGCCGAGTTCACAAGTACACAAATCGAACATCGGTGACATCAGGGATGGATTGCCGAGTTCACAATTATACAAACCAAACATCGGTGACATCAGGGATGGATTGCCGAGTTCACAAGTACATAAATCAAACATCGGTGACATCAGGAATGAATTGCCGAGTTCACAAATACAAAAATCAAACATCGGTGACATCAGGGATGGATTGCCGAGTTCACAAGGTTCGTTAATAGCAAGGACATTACATTATTTTGTGTGAACGCTGCGCTAATCATTATGTTTTATTAAAACCAGTGTCCGTTTCAGATTAAGTGAATTTCGCAAACTGTACAGGACTATCCAAAGCAGGATTTTCCACCTGTGGGCTGATATTAGCATCGTATTTACCCGCTAGTCTGATAAGCACTTTTCCGTTTATGCTGTATCAGCAATGCAAATCTAGGGTTATCACAAGAAAAATATGAGATAATAATATTTATCATATACTTAGAATAAATAACTTATAATTTTTACAGTATGATAATGGCACTAAATTTACGTGAATTCCATATTTTTCGAAATAGTGTTTAGCGGGCTGATATGAAAAATTTATCATGCTTCCGACTATTATCACATGCCTTTCCGTAATGTTATCGCATGGCGTTCCGGCGTTACTCGGCAACTTCCGGAAAATACACCTCAATGGTACGTTTTCAGTGAAAAACATTACAAAGTAGGGTACAAAACAACTATTAGGAAACAGGAAATATATTATGTAAAATGCAAAAAAAAAAAAAAAAAAATGATACAATCATGAAATGCATTTTTTCAAAGTTTCAAGCATAATTTAGAAAGTTACTTTACAAATTTTGACTTTTCCAAACAGTGTTCATTATGTTTTGTTAATTTTTTTTGTTTTCATCGTCAGTATGAAAATATATAATACAGTTGTTTTTGAGGCATATGATAGAAAGATTTCATATCGGATGTATTACATTTGGTGTCCGACGTCCGTAAACTTTTCACTTTTTGAACTTCTACTTGAGAACCACTTAAAAGGATCAATATATATTAAACTGTTATTTTTCTTCATTGTTGAAGCATATGATAAAAAGATCATAACGTCATATTTCATATCAGATGTATTATCAGACCTCGGTCAATATCAGCCCTCGAGCCTTCAGCTCTTGTGCTGATATTGAACCTTGGGCTGATAATACGTCTGATATGAAAAATGCCATGTAATAATCTGATAGAATTGCTAATATGTACACATTTATCTTATTTGTTACATTAAAGTGATATCTGGTATCTGAGACTACTATAACATGTTATAGTAGTCTCAGTTTAAATGAACGATCGATGTTTCAACTTGAACAGAATACAGCATGAAATTACATTATAATAAAACAAGCCGTGACAACTCTAGCGTACACAAAACTGAGAAAAAAGCACAAAGATAATCAATAAGAACAATTGAATTTAAAAAATGCATAATGAAACTTAGATTTTGAATTCATTTGCAAGCTACATAGGAGACAAAACCTCTTGAGAATGTGTCTAATTATTTACAACCAGAGCAACAACAGTCAGGCATAATCACTCCAATACTGAACAATGTCTCTAAAATGTGTGCAACCATATTAAGTTCTGAAAGGTGGTCTGGTAGACTCTATATGTATTCCAAAGAGAAGGAGCAACAAAACAAAACGATTTTTTACAACTGAAACTGACATCTATGGCAAGCCGTCCTCGTCAAAACTATGTTAAACAACTCTTTTTTCGAAAACAATTGCACACTGAGAATTAAAAAAAAACTAATCAACACTGAGAAACCGAAATTACACACTGTGATTTTAAAATTACACCCTGAGATTTAAAAAAATGAAAAACACACACTGAGAATTTAAATAGACATGCACACTGAGATGAAATAAATTGAAAAACACAGACTGAGAATTGTTAATTACTCACTGAGATTTCAAAAATGCACACTGAGATTAATATGCACATTACTAATGAATATTCATGAAATGAATAATTCAACAGATTAATTTCGTGGTCTCCCAAACTCCGATTGTTCCGATGCTATATTCCCTTATGGAACTGAATTGTTTGCCGCAAACTTGCAGCAGACTTGCAGCAAGCTTGCGGCAAACAAAAAGTTTGCAGGAACACAGAAAAT